GTGTTTGTGTGCGTGCGACTAGACGTATGCGTGTAGACTAGCTGCTAACCAGTGTTGCCAGGTATACAATTTTTATGTTATTTATACCATATTTTCTACTACGATACCTGCAAGTTTTTGAAGATACCATTTTCCAATTTTTGACCATTTTTTTGGTCACTGATACCATTTTACTACCATATTTTTAACTTTTATATAATTTATTATAATAATAGGACTAAAACATAGCACTCTGCATATCTCTACCCTACTAACAAGTAACAAGAATGGGCTCACATCTCTACTAAAACACGTCCAATAATAGACGATTACAAAAATGTATCTATTATCGGGGAATTCAAAAATGAAGAGAAAAATATGTGGTCTATTTAAAAAAAATCGATGACGTTGTAGCGAAAGACGTTCAGTTGAAAATGAAAAGCCAAAGCCAACAAAGAAATCACTAAAATCAGACGGAAAAATGAGAATAAACAAAAACATAAATACACGTCACATCTTTGGATTCTTTGTACTTAATTTGATTTTTATTTGTTCAATATGTGTGTAAAACTTCATTATTTGGTGTTATCAAGTTTATTCAAGATACCATTTTTTGTCAATAAAATCAGACGGAAAAATGAGAATAAACATAAATACACGTCACATCTTTGGATTCTTTGTACTTATTTTGATTTTTATTTGTTCAATATGTGCGTAAAACTTCACTATTTGGTGATATCAAGTTTATTCAAGATACCATTTTTTGTCAATAAAATACCATTTTTTTAAGTGTCGGATACCATATATTTTTTTTTTCATCTGGCAACACTGCTGCTAACTGTTCATAACTGATTCTATCTCTTTTAGACACAATTTCGGAAAAGATGAATTTAAAAATGAATAATGATCCACAAGAATCCACAACAAAATATGGGACCATCATTGACGCGGTATTTTCCAGATACTCTAGACGTTTAATGTCGAAAGCGAGATTTGCGGTATTTAGGTTAAAGTTAAAAAAATGATATGAGCTAAAAAGATGATGGCTGAGGAACAAAATGAGATGTGCTTTAGTTAAAGACGTCATATTTTTATATTCTACAGAAACCAAAAAATCGGGCTCATCTTTGCAAAAACTAATAACGTGCATTAATGTTGTACCTTCACAAAATTTTGTTATATCCTTACATCTATCAATGAAGGTTTTTATTTTAAATTCTGCATAGAGATGCTATATCATAAATGAGTTATTCAGATTATTATGTAAAATGTAAAATCCCAACAAAACTGACAATAAAAATACTAAAATGATTGCCGATATAATAAATACGCTTGTTTATATATAATTAAAACATTTAAATTAATTTTGAAATAATTTTTATATTAGTAAAAGCGATAATGCATTAACATGTAAGAGGTTAATTTAATGGTACTACTAACGCCATAGGGGGAAAATTGCCATTTTTGTCATGTGTTCTTTATGGTTCTTTATTGAGCGTCTTCAAAAAAAGTAGGTAGTTCTCAATTCGTTGAAATATTTTTTATCTATTTCACCACTTTGTCCGATTTCTATGATTCTTTTTTGTTAGAAATGGGATACCTCAGGGATAGTCTCATATAAATCTGGTCAAGACCTGATGACAGGAACCATTAGAAAATCATCAAACTTCCAATTTTAAAAGCATCTGCACAATTTTGGAGTCTATGTTTTAAAATTAATTTTATAACTTGTTATAGTCACAATCATGTGAAGTTTCATTAATTTGTGATTTTTTTTGTGACAGATAGCTGTTTGAATAAGACGCATAAATGGACATCGGACAATAGCGCCTTGAAGACGATGAACAAATGGATAATTAAATTTTAACAGGAAAAGAAAGCGCCCTTTAAATTTTATATTATCTATATTGCGACCAATTTCGAAATTATTACACTAACTTTATCTTCAGGCAATCACAGTGTCGGATTGGAACGGCGGTCTACCGGTAAAAATAACGGTTGGCCCTCGTTCAAGCTGTGGGCCCTCGTTCAGGCAGTGGGCCTTCATTCAGGCAGTGGGCCTTCGGCCTTTGTTCAGGCAGTGGGCCTTAAGAAGAACAAACAATGAATTAAATGCAAGAAACTCAGTAATACCTGAGAGGACATTTTTTTCTCTTTAATAAAAATCTGACCATGAAAAAGGTGGGCCGGTCTCCCTCCTGACTGGAGGCCCTGTAGGTCCCAACCCGACACTGGGCAATCATAAATAATTTCGTATCAAGATATCAATAGCGAAGATTCATTAATAGATATTTACAAGAATGTTATCTTCGTTAGAAATAAACAATTTCAATAATTGTCGCCATTAAAAATTTGTGTTTCCGTTCAATGTTTTGTTAAAAACAAACGATTTTTTCTGTATTTTTATTAGAGTGAATGTGTGTGTACCCTATATTGAATCCCAACATAATTTAAATGCAATTGTTTTAACAATTCACTCGCAAAGAAAGGGGCCCAAACACCTGAGCCATTCTGAGGTATCAGCAGTAACACAATATTGGGAGAGATTAAAAAAGAATTGGGCAGTAGAAGAACCGATAATTGGAACAATGTCTTGGGATTAAGATGCTTCTGGATAAATAAAACCAGATAAGATCGGAAGCCTGTATCAGCATGACAAGAACAGGCTACGCATTGTAACAGAGATCCTTACCGGGCAGCATATTCGTATCAAGCGTGCAGTATCGCAGGCTCGTCTTTTCCGAGTACCGCCGAATGCATCGACGTATCCAGAGCGCGAGAACGCATTATGCTAGATGTACCCAACGTTCGAAATTGCAATTATTAATTTTTGGCATTTGTCATGGTCACTTGTTTTCGTATCGTGCAACTAAGATGGAGAATTTTTGTTTGCCCCCAGATTTTCCCTACGTTATAGAAAATGACACAGTAAGACTTAAAATAACATTACAATAAAAAAAAAATGCCGAAAAGGAAAAAAGATATCGGTTCAACCAACATCAGTTTCAAGAAGAAAGGTTCATGCATGATGTGGACGTAGAAAAGTGCAAAGTGGACGAAAAGTTTCTTTAGTTAAAAAGAAGGCGAAAGCACCCCACAATTTATTCCTGTGCGTGGAGAAAAATATACCTTTAGGAGAAAATAAGTTTTTAAAATAAGCAAATTGTGTATTTTCTGTGTAAAACATTAAAATTACTTTGTTTATACTTGTAATAAAACTTTAAGGCGAATGTGTTTTGGATTATATGCCACATAAATTTAAAAATATTACTTAGGGGGCGCATATCTTGTCAATATGTTGCGATATCGAACGCTGAGTACCACGCGAAAAGTCTGAACAATGCGTTCCCGCGCGCTGTATACCTGAACGGATTCGAGGGAACTCGGAAAAGGTGAGCCTGCGATACTGGACGCTTGATACGAATATGCTAGCGGGCATTGCCAACTCAAAGGACACCTTTGTAAACTGAGAGTAGTAGAAGATAGTGCAGATTCTAGGAGAAGAAGGATGAAATCTCCAATGACATTCTGACTGAATGTGTAGCACTCCAGAATCCAAGGGCACTATACTTAGGAGCACAACAAATAGAAGAGATCGATCTACCTAACATGAAGCCCCTCCAAATCCAATCCTACACTTCCTTGAGAAGATAGGGATTGGAAGGGTCGTTATAGGCATCGAGACTATTTCTTCGATGCATTAGCGACAGAAGGGGGCACAATAGATCTTTTAGGTCGCAATGTAATAATACCCAACATAACATAACAATATGACGCAAATTTCAACTTATCTTTATGTATAAAATTTCAGTGTGCGTGTGTCTTGTGTTCCTAATTTTTCTCCTCCTAAAAGGCTTGACTGATTTTGATGATCATTTTTTTTTTTGTACTTGGGGGAATAATTAAATAAAAAATACATCATTTATAATTCTTTTATTCTTCCACAGTCCAGTGAGTAACATAACACAAAAATTGCAGGCATGGAAAATTGCGAAGTGTAAAGTGGCTCTTAGCTATAACTGGACCCGGTAGGTGGCGCTGTTGTCGAGATCCCGACCAACATTTTTTTATATATATTCTTTTACTTTCCACATAAAAAAATAGATCGAGTTAACATCTTTTAGAAAATGTATATCTATCAGGACAAGGTAGTGTTTACAAAATTGTATGCATAAATAAAATTAAAAATTACTTATTTTAGATTGATGGGGACTGATATTTTAGCTACGGCTGAAAGTTTAAATAGTTGAATAAGTGTTGGAGTAATATAGCAATTATTGTAATTTAAGTACCTACTGAGGTCGAAAATAACTTATTAAATTTCCCTAAGGATAAGCCAAATTAAAATATTCAGTTCAACATGTGCTGGTTGCTTTTGAAGGTTTTCGTTTATTAAGTAGAATAATTAAACCCTACAAGGAGATATCAACTTATTAAGTATAGAAAGTAAGTACCAATAGAACATTATTTTAGTTTGCTGTGCGTTTAAAAATTAGAAACCAATTTAAGGAATTTTCGCTATTGAAATGTATTGTTTGAAGGTGAAGTTAATGTATTTCAAAACTGGTCGCAATATAGATAACATTGAGAGATTTAAAAGACATTTTTTATAAAATCTATCATACTCACAATGATTGTTGTTTAGAGCGATCGAAGATTGAGGAGCTGAGATCGTGGATATTTATATCGAATGAACGCTTACATTACATTTTGCATATCGAACTGGACATTTCTAAACTATCAGCAAGGCGAGTGCCGGCGTATACCGAATTCCGAACCAACACATAAAAGACGCAAATATCCAATGAAAACCTGAAGCTTTTGAACAAGGATCAAGTTGAATTTTTGTGTCGGTATGTTATTGACTCTGTATACCAGAGTAATAAAGCGATCTCAACAGTGGAGGCATCCTGACAAGGAAGGCTAAGTCAATATTGGCTACGAATTGTTCCTCCGCACACCAGTCAACCGTATTATATAACAAAATTTTGTTAAGATTCCCAAAAAGAAATAACACTTACCAGTGACTGTGATGAAATGCGGTGACCCAGACGCAAGCGGATCTGTCTCGTGAGTTTCGTTTTGCTGTTCGGCTGTAGCACTGCTCTCGTTGCTGGAATCTGCAGCCTGTTCCAAAGCAGATACGTCGATAACAGGTACACCGTTTACAATTGTACCTGTTGCTGTCTGAAAAATAAACGAGAACGTTCAAAATATAAAGCAAAACTACATCAATTATTACAAGAATTAAATCCAAAATTGACGCGTTAAAGTGTTAGAAGAATAGTAAAGAATTCAAACCAAAATACTTTTGAGTTTCTTTCGGTGTTTACCGCTGAATCATTATATCGGATATGTTGTGAATCCTGATTACGTAATTCAAGGTGCTCAAATTGTAGTTCAAGCAGATGTGTCCGATGTGAATAAACAAAGGCTCAAGAGGTAAAAAATGCATCAGATGTGGATATTCAAACGTAGCATGAATACCATAAGTTAGTGAATTGAGTCCAGAAGTAGACATTTTTAATTTAATAGAGAAACACGTTTTATAAGAGAAAAAAGGTTAATAAAAACTATAATGCTAATAGTCTGAATAACAGAAGTGAAAAATAGAAATAAAAAAGGAATAAACATTATAGAAAAGGGATGTTACATGAAAGAAAAGAGAGTACATAATTATTTGAGGAATTGTATCAAATATGCACCTTTAAATTTAATTTTCTCAAAAAAATCTATAAGTATAATTTATTGAAAATTATAAAAATTGCTATCTTGAAGACTACTATAAAAATATTGCATAAAACAACTGACAAAACAATTACAAGGTTGTACATATTGTCAGTATGATGAAAATCAAATTGATATTGATGGACATCAAGAACCTATCTACCTTAGAATATAAAGAAGGTAGACAAGAGAATATTTTATAGCTCATTTTTAAACATATAATCCACACTTTTTGTAAACTATCAATTTCTCTAATTTTTAACAAATAGCTTGCGATAATAATGAGTTTGTATTTTTTAAAATAGCGATTAATGTGTGAATGCATTTAACTTTAAAATTGCATGTAGGACAGGCACATATTTTTGGGATTAAATTTAGAGGTTTTAAAACCTTAAATGAATATAAAACATTTTTATCACGTTGATTATTTTTTTTTTAATTACTATTGCTAATACTTTAAATTAGCAAAACTTTATGACTTTCTGATGGAGTTCGATCATAAAAGTTCATGTCAGAAAATAAATTTAAAATATTTCAAATCTTTTATAGACATAAATGTCTTATTTTTTAATCTATCTTATAGGAATATCCAATTTATCTTTTTCAAGAAATCAATCCACAAGTTTCTTCTTTGAGAAAGACATACCATCGAAGGACATTTATTTTTTGAAATTTACTAATATTTTTTGGTAAGATATGTAGGCCCTTAACTCGGTGATGTAAAAGAGGATCTCATAATCCACCCGCACCTTTGGTCAGACTGCCATACTAACAAAGATAATGTGGCCGACCAAACTTTTTTGATTTATATCGATCAAATGCTATTAAACGAAACAGATTTCGTTCATTGAATAAATAAAATTAAAGTGTTATTAAGCATCGGATATACCCTTCTACTAACATACGATCAAAGACACGTTTTTCACATCTATTACTGCAAAATAAAAAGTACACTAACTCGATGTCATGAGTCAAACTAGCTTAAAATGGCCAAATTTCGTCTCAATTTTCATTGGTGCCGGTTTAATATGATAAGCTCCTTCCTGGACTTTTATATTATGTATATTCTAAGCTATCCAGTGGCACTCTTTCCGACGGGAAAGTTAATGGGCGGGGTATGAAAGAATAGAACTGGCGATTCTACATTCGTGAACGCTTATATCGCACGAAAGACTGCGGAAAAAAGATTGTGTGATGGATGGCTTTGAAGATTATTTGAGTCATCTTATGTTTTCCTTCGTATTTATTCAAAAGGAAATAAGCACCAGGCAGCTAGTCTATTATGTGTCTGTAGTATCAAAGTAAATAGAGGAATATACTAGAACTGTACCCTAAGACTGTACCCTTATGTCCAGCTTGTCCAAGCTAAGCTTTGCTGCCTCCAGACTATTTTGTGAGTTTGGATAAAGTGATGCTCCAGTTTTTCAGAATGCCAATGGAAATACCCTTGCCGGACCATATTTTGGACCTTAGATAAAAGAAACTTTTGGCCAATTCAAAAAAGCAATTTAAGAAAATCGTGAAATGGCGAAGAAAAAATTTTATTGTATAGAAAATACAAAGAGATATGTAATTTAGCAGAATGTATAAACGGCTATTTTGAAGAACTATGTTCATATTATATTATTTACTACAATAAAGCTCTTATATTTTTAAACTTGACGTTATATGAGTTTAAAAACAATTTTTGTATAAACCCGACCCTCAAACGTGTCAGATTTTACTGATTTTTTAGGACAAACCTGTGAATTAATGTTTCTGAAATATTATTTGTGTTTGCGATGTTATTTATTAACTATGTAACAAAAAGCTTAGGCATAAATTTTAAATAGATTTAAAAAATGAACTGAACTCATGAATATTTTACAAATAATGTTATATTCACAGATTCATACATACCATATAATTTTCAATCATTGATAAGTATACCAGTTAGGCAACTATCGAAATATTCATATAAATCCTCTAGTTGCTAATCAAAGACTAATCTCCTAGAGTTACCAATTCTTTTTTGATGTTCGGGGCAACGGAACTTTCCAATATTTTTTGAAGACTAGCAACAAAATTGTTGACAGAAAATATTTTTTGTTTGAATTTAAAATCGTCGCCAACTAAATTTATCACGTTGCAGTATTCGATGTTGCAGTATTGCTCGGAAGTTGCAGTCCACGTAATGTGCTTACAAATGCCCTAATAAGCAGACCATTAATAGAGAAAAGAAGCCATCACAATTATTCTTCTTTTCCCTCTTTATGGTAACGTGACACTTTCGATTCGGACACCGTCGTGGCAACATTAAAATGGTGGTTTCCGAATCGGGAGTCCAGAAGTACAATAAAAATCTTAAAATATCTAGTACAAAAGTGACCATCCGGCTTTAAAAACATCCAACATCAAACTGTAGTGGAACTATCAATTAATATTTAGTGTCAAGTGGAAAAATAATAGCGTATTGAAAAAGTGATGATTTCGGTCAGACGCACGAGGGTGCAGCTTTTTCATGAAATCTAAATTCAACAAAACATATGCCGAATAGCCCTGGCAGCTAAGGCCTACAAAAATTGAATTTAAGAAGAAGATAGGAGCTGTATCATAATTTTTAGTGATTAAAGTTTCTGTTACTTTAATTTGCAAAAAGCTAAACAAATGGCACAGATAGCATTTTTTCGATAGGTCCAAGACAAAATCATTGGTAGTAAGGAAAAAAAAAATGTAACTCTGTCAGCAGTGGGATTCTCATCTTTCAATAGGGCACGTGTTGAGACGCATATCTTCGTTCGACAGAATGTGATTCTTATGTAATGATGTCCCAGTTTATAGCTAAAGAATCAGCTCACTCGGGCCAATTGGATGTTTCAAAATAACTTCCACTCCAGAGATACAAATTCAGGATGCGCAGAAGATTGCTGTTTGAATATAGGCTGTTGTCATATAAGGTTCTTTTATTCGCTGTTGGTACAGTGTCCACCAGTGTCAATTACACCACCTTATTTACCTAGTTTTCTTTCTCCTTGTTCCTTATACACATGTCGAGTGTAATTCACTCCTGCTAAATAGCTGGTGGAGAAAATATCCACCAGTGGACACCACATCGCCGACAGGAAGGTGTAGTGAATTTTACACCAGGCCAAACGAAAGGTTTAGTATCCGTTGGTGTAGTTCATTCTTTTAGCATTGTATGATTTGATTCTGTATGCGCCAGAGATACAAATACGAGTTGCGCAATGTATAAACTGGAACATTGAGATCAAAAGTGCCGAGGCAGAGTGAGCGAACTGATTCTTTAGTTATAAACTGTGGTTACGTGTCGAGTTCGCACTTAAGAATCCCTTTTCAGAATTCCATTGCTGATGTACTTTTATCTTGTATCCCCGTTTGAGGTTTGACGCAAAATTGCTATCTTTCGTTTAATACACTCGATTACTTAGTTCGTTTAGAAACTGGCATCGTCATTTTTTTATTTTCAAGTCAAGCCCATGGTTAAATCGAAGAATTAAGCAATAAATAATCTTCAGATATTTCTAAATGCTTAGTAAATCAGTACTCTAAACTAAAACTGTTTGTAAGAACAAACTTGATTATTATAAAAATTTAACTTGCAAAGAAGAAACTTAGATTAGATTGGATTTAAAAGAAGTTGTCCACCGCTACTTTTTTCAGATCTATTGTGGAACTCAGTTTTTTTTTTAGAATATGTCATCTAGCTCTTTTAAGGTCTTTTAATTAGATTTAGTAGCTTTGACAGTGGTTCCCGCATGTGTTTGGCTTTTCTGCGCCTAATGTTAGATACCTTAATCTAGCCAGGCCTTCACACTGGCACAGGACATGGATTGATATTTCCTCTTCTTCACAGAACCTACACAAAGTGCTTCTACTGCTGGATTGAAGTCACTCATGTGACTTTTTCGGCGACAGTGTTCGGTAAGATAACCTAACGATTTTACGCTTTTGATACAGTAGATCTTTCGTGAACTTGGCTGATGTTTCCTTGATGAACTGTTTGGCCTGTCTCAGTCTTGAAAAGTTGTTCCACCATTCCTGAGAATCTTTTTGCATCCATTATTTGATGTCATGGCCTTATCTGAGCCTTCTCGGGCTAATTCGTCGGCCTTTTCATTTCCCTGCTATCCCTCGTGGCCTGGCATCCAGGCTAGGGTAACCTTGTTTTAACTATTCAGATCTGCCAGGTCTTCTAGGCAGTCTTTCACCAGTCGCGATTTGATTTCTGGTGAGAGAATTGCCTGTAGAGCTACTATCAGAGTAGGTGGCAACAGTTTTGCCTGATACTCGCTGATTTAATATTTCTCTTGCACAATGTTGTATGGCTATTAGTTCAGCCTGAAATACTGTTGCTAATTTTTGAACCGTCTGTATACCAGACGAGTTCAGCCTGTCCGGGAGGTCCCTGTTTGCAGGATTTTCGAGCTGGTATGTCGGCGCTATGTAGTTGGCTTATTGAGTTTTCTCCCTGCATTAGCCTGTGAATAACGGACCTGGCTTCTCCTTGTATGAAGATGTGCAGTGGCGTGAGGTTTCATCATCATCTGAATTAGGGCGTGGTTCAAAGCCCACTTGTACTGAAGCTCTAGGCTTATTGTACCCCTCACAGTTTCTATCCCATCAGATTGATTTTCTTGATGAATTCAAGAATATGTCTGATGAGCGCTTTCGCGATTTCTTCAGGTTCCGGATATTATACCCCGAAGTACCATTCCCGTTCCCATTTAAGGTTCCGGCAGTGGAATAGTATGTGAATAGGAGTTTCGTCCTCATCTTCACATATTCTACATAGGGAGTCATCAGATATCCCTAAGAGATTTAGGTGTCTTCTAAGGCCGCAGTGTCCCTTAAGGAGTCCTATTACGGCCTTGAGTTCGCTTCTGCTAAGGTTTAGCAGTTGATGTTGTCTGCGTGAGGTTTAATAGTACCTCCATTGCTGCAGTTGGCGTATAGCGCATGGCCTCAGTGGCACTCAGACAGGCGAGCCGCTGATTGTCGGTGAGTTGGCCTATTGCACTTGCCTACGACGTTTTGGTTACCCACGCCACTGCGTCATAGGTTATCATGGGTCTTATTACCCTTATGTATAACCATATTCTTTCACAGCTTACGAGAGCTATTGTAGCTTTGTATGCGAGTTTTTTGAGATGTTGATTCCACGTCAGCCTTTGGTCGAATATGACTCCGAGGGACGTACTGTATAATGCAGGTCGTGACAAATACTTTATAGATGTCGAACTATTCAGTGAGTGAATCATATATGTAGAAATATGATTCGCTCCCTTTTCCTATTATTTTAATATTTTGTATTACAATCTCGAAACGTTAAGTTCGTCTCTATTAACAAACAATAAAGTGTTTTAATATAAAAGTCTACACAAAGGTTCGTTTTGCTTAAACCATATCTCTTAAAGGTCAATTTCTGTTAACCCAGTGCTGGTTTTTAGCTCTGCCGTCCCAAAGACATAAAAAACAGGGGTATTTTGTATATCCACTTTGCTGTCCAAGGAGGAAGTTTACCGTTTTTAAATCAACACAAATTTCCCACTGATGTTCTTCGTATTTAATTTTTTTCAAAACAAGTGCCATTGTTTCATATTCCTCTTTCTCATGGTAGTAGAATGACCATTAGGAATTGAGCCATATTTGTTACCGTTAAGTAAAATGACATATTTTAAACTACGTTTTGAACTGTCAATAAAAAGGCGCCAATCCTCTGGAGTGTATTCTGACAAACCCATTTTTGTCTAAAAGTCCTTTTACATCGTTACAGAATACCAGGTTATTTTCCCGAGTGAAAAAAGGCAGTAAATCCTTCTCTTTTTTCATAAAATGTAATATTAGCATCTGGATAAAGAAGGTTCTTTTCTTTTAATAAGCAGACTCCTTCGAGAGATTTAGGTCTCTTATGAGATCGTTTAGTTCTTATTGATTAAAACGCTGAGGTGTTAAATCTGTTTCAAATTTTCTGATTGAATTCTTTGAACTGCATCAGACGTTGATGTTTCTGTATCATCTTCCGGGAACTCAGGAAAATTTTGAAGGATGGAATGGGAATTTTTTCCTAGTGCAATACAGGTCTTTTTGCAGAATCTAGATCAGGATATGTCTCCATTTGTGTCTATTGTTCCTATTCATGTCTTTAATATTAACGAGACAAAAATAGCAGTCATTACAATGGTTTCGAGGTTCCCTCCAAACTATTGGCACACCAAACTGTAGGTACACCAAACTGTAGGTACTTCCTCTTTCTAATTGGCCACTGTCGCAAATGTTAAACATATGTTTTATACACATGTGGAGCCCAAGATGAAACCAGCTCTCCCAAATGAACGCCAAAATAGGCAAGATAAGCCCTTTTCACAAAGTCAGAAATAGTTTTTCTATTTTCTTTCGACACATACATAAAAAAAAACATCTGGATGCTTTACACAGCTACGTTTGCTTGTGGATGCCATTGTTTTGGTTTTAACACGGTAAAGAGACGTAAAATTTACACAAAATGATAGCACAACTTTACTTCCAAAAACTCAAACCGAGAAGGGTAAAGGTAGGCAGAAGGTACTATGTTTCTGAGATTAATTAGTGGGGATTAAGCAGGTATAGGAATATTGGATCATAAACAATTCCAAGTATAAGTACATATGCTGGTTAATCAAGCCTGTATCTCAAAAACTAGAACTGATAGAAAAAATCTGCTGGCAGTTTTAGAATCAGCCCATTGAATATATCTAAAATCAGTTTTTTTTAATTTATTGGCCTGTATTTGTTCCTGAAGAAGCAACAACAATAAAATCGCCTTTAAGTTTATAAACTACATGTCAATTTTTTTAATGTTTGGTAAAAAATGGAGTTTTGCTATTTTGTGTAAAAAGTAAAGACTAATTGTACCTAATCGATTGATGGAGTTTGTTTAATTTTTTTATTTTTATCGAAGATTGGCAATTTTGGAGCTGATTATCACGAACGGATGACCAGCGGCTTAAATTAAAAGAGGTAAAGAATTAAAGTTACTTTAATATCATGTATATGTAGTATCTAAGTAATTATTTGTTCCAATTTTGTAAACAAATGTTTTATAATATATTGTGGTGTTTTATTTATTTTGCAGCACTACAGCTACTTCAATAATTAATCTAAATTAAAAAAATAATTACAACTAAAGATTCTTAGAACTAT